TCTGCAATAGTTGTAGAAATGCCAATGAAATGAGCTGAAATGTAATACTGCAGTCAATCAAGTGAGGCTGATTTTACCCACATAATGTACCGCTGGGCGCTCTCATTTGTAATATCATATCATACTCTATAAGAGGATTAGATGTTAATCTGCCTGCTAGTGTGAAACTCTGCACAGACATCATTCGCAGCGAATGTCAAACAATCGAATGAAGAAAACAATGAGGAAAACACATTTTTAGCGAAGGGGGACTTTTACTGCTCAAGCCAATATGGGTCATCTTTCAGCGCCGACATTCACACAACAGGTTTATCGCCGGCAGAAAAGTACATACCTGGGATAACTTCATCTGCATGTTGGCAAAAACATGCAAGAAACCCACCACTGCATCCCACAGCCTGCTGTGAGCCAGACTCTGTTGATTCCCTATGCACGGACCCTGGAACAGACAGCACAGAGTGGATACAGAGGCCACATCACAGGAACATTAACCCTCTGGGGATATCGGGGACATTTTTGTCCTCNCTAAAACAGCTGAATTAATGTTTGGAGATAAAACATTCCCTCTTTAGTAAAAGTCGCCACTACAAAAACTCTACATCGACATATTTGTTTTGGTCAGAGGATGTTACTGTACCTTCAGGTAGTAGTATCCCACTACACACAGGAACGATATGATGGTGTGTAATATTGCCAGACAGCGAAGCGTTGGTGCCATGTAACCTGTGCTCTCCTGCAGGACGAAGTACTCAAGAGCTCCTTCATCTTCCTCCTCCCCGACTCTTCCTCGACCGTTCCAGGGGTCTTCATCGTCCGAGTAATCACCAGTAACCTGAAACACATTTAAAAAAATTTTGCTAACAACAATGTGGATCCTCCAGGCGGTATGTATAGTTTTAAACATAAACTCACTTTGTAGAAGAGAAGGATGAAGTTGATAGCAAAGGCGACAAAAAGCGCCAAGAAGCGGAGGTTGTAGAAATTTCTGGCCAGGTAGTTCTGTGGAAAACATATAAGAAGAATATATTGGCTTTTTAAAAAAAAATAAAAAATAGGGACAATGCACTTTAATGATCATCTGTACAAAAATATAAGATGTAAACATGTCAGATAATAACACAATTTAAGGTTAAAACCTCTCAGCAGACAATAATAATACAAAAACATGAATAAAAATGAAACTATATGATGTAATAAGCCAAGCTAAAGTTGATCACGGATCCGATTTGCATTAAGCCTGCAGATGACTCTTAAAAGTGGGGAATGTAGAACAGCTCAGAAGAGTCGTGTTAAGAGGTAGGCTAGATTAATAACTGCAAAAAGCTGATTTGCACTCTCCTAATCTAAGAGTTCTAATCTTAAGACAGCTGTGTGAGAAATGTCTGACCAGCATCTTAGTCTGGTAGATTTCTAAGCCAGCAAAAAAGCTGGCCATGAAGGCCTCCGGCGGTTCCTTCCTCGGGCCGAGCCTCTTCTTCGGCGCTTTCTTCTCCTCCACCGAGGGCTCTGGAGGGGCTTCGTCTTTGGACTTGTCGTGATCCTTCTTCTCGCCATCTTCTGAACTGTAAGTATAAAGTCTCACTCAGTGACTGCACTCAGACATACAGATCTAGTCTATGTACTTACAGACAAACATACTCGCAAATACACCCAGAGTCGACTCTTGGACCCAAATTAAATGTCTAATAATAATTAAAGCCCCTTTATGAAAATGTTTGACTTTGTTCACTGATAAAAAGACACAGTGGAGGACAGCAAAGCACCATCATTATAAAACAGGGCGCTACAATCCCACGGAAAATATATCAAAATAATGACACCAACTGCAATTTCACTGATTAATAAACAAATGACACTCACTCTTCTTTCTCTGCATCGGATTTAAAGTCTCCATTAGTCGCTCTCTTTTTTGCAGCCAACTACAACGAAACAGATTGTTTTGACCATTAATTACAATTGCACTCAAGTTAAAAAGTCAGAAACTTCTATTAATGACAGATGATCAGAAAGGATTCTGACCTGCGCCTTTTTCTGCTTGACAGCACTTGCTATTGATGGAGCATCTCCCACCACCACCTCAGAGACATCCCCCAGACCGGGTTCGGCTCCATGCTTGCCCTCCTTCTTGGGCTGTATGTTCAGTAACTCAGCCATCAGGTCTGCCTCGGCCGCTTCCCCCTGAGCCATCTGACCCATCTCTGCCAGCGCCGATGCTTCATTCGCCTCCATCTTCTCCGTTTCCAACACATCTCCGTGGATCCCAAACTGAGTGGGGTCAGGCATGTTTCCCAAAATATCCGTCACCTTCATATTCTTAGCCCCTTCAACGAGGCCACCGCCGAACATAGTTGTCCATAAAATATGGAAGAAACCCCAAACTAGGCTGTAGACAAAGTGAAAAAGGCCCGTGATGATCATCCAGAAGAAGGAGAAGAAGCCTCGCACCATCTCCCTCACACTCATCTTCCTGAATTTTCTGTACTGCCGCCTCATGCTCTTCAGAGTGAGCAGCTGGCGGAAGTGACAAAGGCTTTTTCTCATGGAGATGCAGGCGATGGTAAATGCGGAGGAAGACTCCATCATCACGCTCTCCTCCTCTTCCTCCTCCGGGTTCTCCGCCACGCTCTGGTTGTCGTCCTCGTCTTCCTCCGGACGCTCAACCGGGTCCGGCTCTGATATTTGAGAAGCCAGCTGCATCTCAAAGATGGTGTCCTCGCAGAAGTTGACAAACAGCTCCATCTTCTCGCTCTCCCCGCCTTCGTTGACCACGTCGAAGATAAACTGCCGCTTCGACTCTTTCACCTGAGGCTTTTCCCACTGCGTCCGACTCGACTCGCTGATCTCGAAGTAGACTCTCTCGATGCGCTTCGCTCCACCCATGATCTCAATACGACCCAGAAAAGGCTCAAAGTAGCTGAGGACGCTCTCGGCCAGGTCCAGGAACGTGGAGAGTCGAGCATCGTGAGGCATGTGCTCCGAGAGGTTGGTGAGCAGCACAGCCACATTGAAGCCGATGTCCTTTGCCGGTTCGTGAAATCTCTCCACAAACTGCTCGTAGCTGAACAGGTCGTTCTCATCAGCTTCAGCGCAGGAGAGAAGAAACTCGATCTCGGACTGAGAGTACTGTTTCTGGTTCTCCATGGACTTCTGGAAATCCTTCTTGGAGATCACCCCTTTGCTCTCGGCGTCGTACTCCTTGAAGCTGTCTGAAGTGGTCAAGTCCTTCAACTTGAGGAACATGTCGAAGAACTTGAGGATCATCTCCACATTACTGGAGGATTCCACCAAAGTGTCCACCATTTGTTTGCCAATAGTTCCGTTGACAACATTACCTGTGAAATGATGGAAGCAAAGTTTGTCAGAAAGCACAATATGAAGAGACGTTCCCTGTGCAGATTAAGTACATCTGCTGCGGTATACGTTTAATTAAATTCAAAACAAACAAGATCTGTTTGATGGAAGTCATAAAAAACAGACAATGTCTCTGTAAGTGTGCTGCTTGCCAGGATAGCATCTTATATGAAATCAAAAATGAAACCTTCTAGAAGAGAGAGCATCATGACAATCATGTCCTTCTGCAGGTCCAACAGCTCCTTCAATAACTCAATCTGACTAGAGTCCTGTTAGGAGAAGGGACAAAAGGGAAACCTTGTGAGTCACACCACTACATCACACAGCCTCGTTGTAAGGCCACAGCCGCTGTCTTTAATATCGCTGAGTTGCATTTGGAGATCAAGGCTCCTTCAAATTGTAGGTACCAACAATAGCCCCGCTGAGGCCCAGAAGGTCCTTCTAGGCAACATCCATCCATCAGCGCCAGGGTTGATGTTATTTTACTGTCTAGGAGCAGATGGCTAGGTCAGCCTGACTCATTTAGGGTCTCCATGGAGCCTGTATTCAACACGTCATAAATCTAAAGCATACTTTGATGAGCTAAAATCAAACCCCTCCACCTGTGCGCTCCTTCATCCCGGCTTCCACTGTCAGACCCGAGCCTTTGTAATGACCACTAGATAAGGTTAGGCGGCTGGATTTTATCCCATTCCCGGCTTATTGGGCATATCGTAGATGGAATCATATATCATGTATCTGAGTGGAATGACATACGTAACTGTGCTGCTGTGGAATGAGATGATCCTCAGGCCTGGAGAGACCTCTAGTGGCAACAGATAAAATACCACTATCGGATGGGTGTTCAGGCTTTTATTTCAGCA